GTACGGCTAGCCACTTCGCTCAAGATTCTAGATCTAGATTCTAGATCTAGAGTCTAGATCTAGATTCTAGATCTAGATCTAGATCTAGACTCTAGATCTAGATAGATCTAGAGTCTAGTCTAGATCTAGAACTTCTTTCCAAATGCTTACTTTAACTGAGAAAGAAATTTTAAAACAACAAGAGAGAGTTTAAGGTTGCTGCCACACGCGATAATCAGAAATACCCTAAATTTGACGACACTCAGCGAGACATGAGGTGTTGTGAGTCAGGCCAAAAAGTGGAATGTGTAAGTTACTATAAATAACTCACAGGGCACGAGTTCCAACATTATGTTAGCCCACAGAATTCTACACTTAGTGTAGAATTCTGTGTGTTAGCTTAATTCCTAATTAAAAAACGTAGAATCTAGTTTTTATTCAGACTGAAACTGAATAATCTTAGATTTTAATTTACTTTTGTGTTTTAACATCATTTTTTAACTTTGTTTTGGTCAATTTGATTGTCCACACCGATAGACATTCAGAAAGAGACAGAGAGAGAGAGAAGAGGGGAGGAGTAGATCTTGCGAGAACTTCCGGGCGGGTGAGAATAGCCACTAGCCACTTTCTAAATATACATATTATATCTAAGTCTAGATCTAGATCTAGATCTAGATCTAGATCTAGATCTAGATCTAGAATCTAGATCTAGTCTAGATCTAGTGCTTGAAGTGAATCAAGATAAATCAACCTAAATCTAACTTACAAGTTCAGCGTAAACCAACAGAACGGCAGCGTTCGAGTTCCCAGGTCGATCTCCAGATCTATCCTAAACCACAGAATTCTACACTTAGTACTTAGTGTAGAATTCTGTGTCCTAAACTGATTGTGACAAGACAACACAACAAGATCGGATCGACCGGATGCCGGATGCTGAGAGTTTATAAATAGCATCGGAAATTCACGTGTAATATTTTGATTTATTGGAAATTTCCGTTAACCCTTTTCTGGAACAAAGCGTCAGAATCAATACTATAGCCTTGTTAACGCATTACAGAAATGCATAAAGAGGACTCAGGTTTTCTTGAACAGGTGTCTTAGAAAGTTACTGAGGATCAGAAGGACAGACAAGGTCACCAATGTGGAAGTGTTTTAAAAGGAAAACAGACAGATCCCAGTCAGAGATGAAGGGCGGTGGCGATGGAGTGGACATAATAATAATATAGTCTCAAGAAGTCAGGCAGCTGCATACAATTAATTACATGTATTTAAGTTTTGGATTGGAACCCACGGGGTAAGAGATCAGAGGGAAGCCGGGTGGAACCTGGAGAAGAATCACATAAATCGATGAACAGAAAAGTGGGAAGACCTGGAATAACATCAAGAGGCTAGCCCAGAATAGAGAAAGGTGGAAGGTGTTTGTCGCCGTGGCCTATCCCTGGTGCATGGTGAGAAAGGCAATGATGAAAATAGCCTAGTTGGAGCAAAATGAAACATTCCGTGACCGTGTAGCGCGAAAGTTGCGTTCTTTGGCTTTTTGGAGACTTAATGAGTTACAAAAGAATTTAACTTCAATGCCTCTTTGAGGAGGATGGGCGATGTGCGTCATGTAAACTTTGTACGTACCGTTTTAACATGCAAAAATAGTCCAGGTAACTCATGGCGGTGTACCTTCGCTTGTGGACAATCTCTTATCGCGTTTGTCACAATTCCAAAATCATGACATTATCACCCTAAGTTTTGTCATTATTTGAAACGGTTTGAACTGCACCCGTCCGCTTCGCTTGTGGCGTACACATAAACAGGTTGGATGCATGGCAGTAGATCTAGATCTAGTATTTATCATACAGAAAGAGGTAAAAGAAAATAAATTTATAAAGGAACCGCAAAAAAAATGGTCTATAACACAGCTGGATTTCCCGGGCCCATTTCGGTGCAATGTGATCAAGATATAGATCTATTATGGAGCCACAAAATTCTAGTCTACACTTTTATAAAAGTGTAGAATTCTGTGCAAGGAGCTTAAAACAAATGGAGCCTCCACCCGCTTTCTCTCTCTCTTCGCGGCGCCCGCCACGAGCGGCACGCTGAGGTGGGGAGTAAATATGGCCGCCGACTATGATCTAAACTCGCGAACTGCGGTTTTTCTTTTTATAGAATGTTATAGGGCTGGGCCACATTGTTGGGGTGGGCAGGGTGGGGGAATGCAGGCAATGAAGAGGGGATGCAGCTGGGATGAAGGGGATGGGGCTGGGATGAAAGAGGTGGGGCGGGCCTTGGGAAGGGACGAAGGAGGTGGGGGAAAATAAATAAAAGAGAGAGGGAGAGAGAGAGAGAGTGA